GGGGTCGGTGTTACAGGTGACAACAATGGTAAAGGAGTATATGTGCTAATTCATTCAGAGTTTAAGAAGTAATCAAGTATTCTCATTTGCAAGACTTTACATATAACGTCGTAAATATCTCACCTGCGGTACATTATCCTGCCACCGGGACGTCAGCGACTCCGACGAGTGTTTCAATTAGTGGAAGTGGAGTGATTCAAAAATGAATAAGTGTTTTACGACTAATTGCATTTTCTACATCATATGACAATACAGTACAACTACAGTACAACTACAGTACAACTACAGTACAACTACAGTAGAAATAGTAACAAGACCAATTTAATAGGAGCGATTTGTAAAGTAAAGTGAAAAGAACGGTTCAGAGAACGTCAGTGAGAAAGACTCCAATCCAAAAGAGAGGAATTGACAGATGTGGTTGAGAAAATCGAGGAGAATCGAATGGAAAAATAATGAAAGTGAAAAGATGAGTTTGTTTCCCTGCTCCTTCACACACGCTCAGTACAAAACAATTTGAAGAGAGAGAGAAAAAAAAGAAAAAGCCACTTCTTTTTATCCATTTTCACCATGTGGTGGTGGTGTTTGCGGTCCTACAGCTATGATAATATATACAGAAATATAATTATAATATTTTATATTTAGCTGTTTGTTTTTATGTCTTGTGGCTGATGATCAGAAAACGCCTTTAATGTTATGCCTGGGCCTTAAATGTTATACACAGTATGTTTACACACTGAGCAGACAAACATGCAGAGGCCTGTATGGCACCACAGAAACCATGTGACCTTCTGTTCGTCTTGCCAGTATTAACCGGTTGAGCTGCCTCATACAACCCAAAACACCTAGAAGCTAAAAGAACACGGTGAGCCACACCCATGTTCTGGGCAATCCTCCTTAAATTACACACAAAACAGAGCTAACACCCACCGAAAGATAATCAGGGGACGTGGCAAAGTTGGCAGGAGGACAAACCAACGGTGACAGTTTTAAAACGCTTATGTTGGCTCATAAAAAAAAAATTAAAAAAAAAAACACTCCCAGAGAAGAAGGAATGTTTAAAAATGCTGCCAAAATTTAATTAAATAAAAAAGGTCCAGGTATGAGTTTGGTGTTTCCTACTTTGACATGTAGCACCTGAACGCCTCGCGTCTTCTTTATGTTTTTGTAACGTTCCATTTTAGGGGTCCCTATGTCAGGGACAGCTGAGGTCAAAGGTCTAGGGAAGACAGGAGGATGGAACCTGGAGAGGTCTGCCAGGTCTGTAGGGGTCAGTATTGGTCCAGTTGTTTTATACCCTGTAGTTTAGTCATTAGTAATGGGTTTATTCTCTGTTATAAATGTCTCATAAAATTTAATGGAAATTTAAATTGAATTCGTTTTATTTCAATTAATTGGCACAAAGAAGCTGAAATGTTTACAAACCTAAAAATACACTGTCTTAATTATTATATAATTATATATATATATGTATTTATATAATATATATAATTGTTAATTTTTTTATTCCATAAATTCACCCTGATCCAAAATTGTAATTTGTCATTCATAACTTTTTTTTTTTTTTTAATATATATTTTTTTTAATCCATTCCATAAATTCACCCTGATCCAAAACTGTAATTTGTCATTCATAACTTTTTTTTTTTATAATTTTTTTTTTAATCCACTTTTTTTTTCTAAGGCCTGGTCCAATACATTTAAACCACGCTGTTGTTTTTCTTCAACATCCGACAGTTATTTTCCACACTCTGGCACAGTGCTGGGTTTGGCAGCGTTCAAACCACATGACCTCCCGTCGGCCACGCCAGTATGAACCGGTTCATCTGCCTCGTCAAGCCTCAACCACGACGATCCTAAAATTACACACCGACTCATCGCCACTGATGAACGTTAAACAGGTCTTCATCAACCCGACGATTAACGCCGCGCCGCGCCGCGCCGCGCAGTAGGCCCGGAGCCTGAGCTGCTCCTGCTTAATGTAGGTCAAATCACTGACGGAAGGCTGTCCTCCCGTGAACCCGCCGCCTGCAATGCTCGTCACGGGCCTGCAGGTGGCGCACGGAGCCACCCCCGGGGGCTGCTGCTGCTGCTGCTGCTCCTCACGCTTCCACCGCGGCGCTACCATATCCGCACAGAGGCAGAGAGATGGCGGCCGTGTACCCACCTCTGTCTCCCCGTGTTCATCTGAGGGGGGGTCGGGGAGTGAGGGGGGGGGGTGAGGAGTGAAGGAGTCAGAGTTCAAGAGTGCACACCTCCTCAAGTAGTCTCTCCTCTCTCTCTCTCTACACTCTCCCTGTGTCGTTGACGCGCGCGGCAGCGGCGGCAAGTCACGCTGAAAAGTGTGTTTGTGTGTACGGGTACGTGTGCACGCGCGCGCGCGTCTTACGCAAGGCACAGACCGTGCGTAACCTCAGTTGACCTCTCTGTCGCTGTGTTCAGGCTGACAGGGAACGTGTCCCGCACTGAACGTCCCCTGGTCCGCGCTGTGCGCACGGCACCACAATCACACATGAATATTTTATTAGAAGCGT